ACTTCTTGTGTGGGTGCTGAAACCCCTGTTGGAGGCCCATAACCCTTGTGTGCAGGCTGAATCCCCTGTTGGGGGGCATACCCCTTATGTGGAGGCCATCACCCTGTGGGAGTGCAGCAAAACATGTATTCATGAATTCATGAAACATGAATTTAGAGTTCACTTCATTATTATAAGAGACTTGGTTTAACACTGTAAGAGATATCAATAAAACATTGTCCAACTGATCACCGTCTCTTTCTTGCTCTCTGTTTTTATAGTGGTCTTTTGTTTTACTTGTGGAGGAACATGGATTTGGGGGTATTTTACAGAGTGACTTTGGGATTTTTTTTATCAGGGATTTTTCAGTTTTCCAATAGGGAACACCAGAATTCCTGCTAGGGAGGCCAGTGGCAGGACCCACTTTCTCAGAGCTGGCACCTTGGACACATCTGGCTGTGGATTAGCAATAAAAACCTAGGATTCCAGACTAGCCCAGGGATTGACACGACACCTCGTTTGATGAGTGACAGAAAGGCTTTATTTACTACAAGTATTTAAAATCAAGTCAAGTGAGCCCAAACTAAATCAAAGTACAGTAATTAGCTATAAAGTGATGATTTCTCACCAAGCAGACGACGACGAAGTGGTCTATTTCTCTTCAACTTCTCAAGTAAGTCGGGCGCATCAGCAACTGGTGTTAGAGAGAAGCGCACACACTGTTTGCTGTGTTACTGCCTTTTTATACCCTTAGTTTAGCATCTTCAAAGCATTCTTTTAGTTGTGTAAATCAAGAAAGAGTCCCAAGCAGTAACTGACAGGAAAAACCTGCTCATTACTGATTATCAGAAATTTTTAATTTGAATGAGTTACCTTCTTTGGTGACGAGAGGGTATCCAGTTTGAAACATATCAAGAAACTGATTAACAGCCAGGAAAAACATACTAAATCAGGAGGAGACATCTATTACATATGGAGAATGTCTCTTCCAGCACATAAACACAAGTTAGTCGCAAAAGAAATATTTACCATACTAATTAATCAAGAATATACATTTCATATGGTTACATACCAGACAACTAGGAGTCTGCTTGAAATCATTCTGAATATAGCAAGATCAGCTGGAAGAGATACTTCATTATTCCTTCTTAGATGGCCTAGCCATGGACTTGCATCCTCTTGCAATATGCAGTTAGCATTATTATTCTGCGTTTTAACTTTTGTGAGTAGGCCCAAGCTTAGCATGAGTTTCAGAGTCATCACTGTGGCTGACCTCCTGGACAAATAGGGCCAAATAGTGGATAGAGGGTGGAGGGAACTCTCAGGGATGCTTCAGCAGTCCAGCTGGCACAAGGGATAGTGTTCCCAGGTACCAATTGGCTGGGCCCTGGCAGCTCCTGAGAGCTAGTAGCCCTGAGGTACTTGCCAGGGTGGCTTTTTATACTGCTGGGGCCAGGACAGGTGCTGGCCCCAGGCTCTAGCTCCCCCTGTCTGAAGATCCAGGAGGAGCCAGGCAGGGTTATTTTGCCCCAAGTGGCAGAATTTGCTCCAAGACAAAGTGCATTTTCTGAGCACGTGCACTGAAGCAAAAAGCCCTGGCTCAAATTTGCACCGCTTCTATTTGAGCTGCTGCAAGCACACATGCTTGCATGTGTGCATGCGCCCCTTGAGTACAACCATGGACTACCAAGATCAGGAATGGGGGGCAGGGATTGAGACCAATGTCCCTAACCAGGAGATCTGGAGTATGATGCTATAGCTGTAGAGGACTGGGATGTGTGCAATTGCCTCGCTAAGCCACAAGCTTGAAATTGGCTGTCAGATGACAGGGGTCTGGAGCCACAAGGGGTCAAGGGGCTGGTGGGTCAGTCTGGAAGCACAGGAGTCCCAGCTAGAGTCTGGAATCAGGAACAGGTGGGCAGGAACCAGGATGAAGTCAGGAAGCAAGACTAAGGCACAGAAAACCAGGAAAAGCCAAGCAAGATTAAGGAAATCAGAAAAAGGGTCAGAAGCCCCGGGGGTAGACAGGGAGGTATCTGTCTTGTTGAGTACCCATCTAGGTACTGAAAGTGCTGCTGCAAGTGGGAGGTAGTTAGGTCAATGGCAACCAGTCCAACTCAAGTAACTAGGGTAGCTCATGGCAACTTAGATAGCCTGCTGCCCTGGCCTCTGGCAAAAGGTATTTCTAAAGTCTACAGATAGAAAGGCCAATAAGTGGATTTCCTGAAGAAAGGGAGGCTCAGTGGATAGACTGCTTGATTGCTCAGTGTGGGAGAAAATGAGAAACCTTCTGTAAGACAAAGGGAGTAGAGCTATGATGTGGAAGTGACCCAGGCCATGCCCTGCTCTGACCATTGTACTGTGTTGATTTTTTAGCTTCCTTGTTTAGAGTAAAGTAGGGTGTTCTGCAGCTAGACTTTTAAAGCTAATGCAACAGACAATTTTTAAAAATAAGCTATTGTCTCCAGCAAAAGACTCTCATATTTTATGGGTTGAGGACTAGAATGGATTGTAGCAACAGAGCTGTTCAACTTTGAAGCAGCTGAGCACTAGGCCTGTGTGAGTAAGCAGGTATTTGATCCAGTTTGGGATTCAGCCTCTTTGGATGCCAGGGATCCAATCTGGAGCTTTGGACTGGGTTTCTGCTTCAATCCAGCCAAAGCCAGAGATCCGGCCATAGGGTATAATGGGGAATCAATGAAATATCTATAACTTTGTTTTTTGTATGATTTGGATGACACTTGAAGAGGTGGTAGACTCTGCTGAGAGCATGAAGCCTGCCAAGTTTCAAGAGGATCAGTGCAGGGGTTTGGGAGGAACTGCACCCCAAATTCTTGAAAGCAAAACTCATATCACGTGTATGTATTACACCACAGGGGGGTGAAAACTGCAGGGGTGGTGGCCCTGGTGAGGCCACAAAGCCTGCCAAGTTCCAAGTTGAAAGGTGCAGGGTTTTGCAGGGAAACGCATCCCAAGCTGCTGACAGGCAAAACTTGTGACATAGATGACCCTGTGTGTGTTAAGGTGCAGCGGGATGAAAACTGCAGGGGTGGTGGCCCCTGCTCAGAACATGAAGCCTAAGTTTCAAGGAGATAAGTGTAGGGGTTTGGAGGAAACTGCACCTCAAGCTGCGGACAGGCAAAACTCATGACATGGGTGAAACTGTGTGTGCTTAGACACAGCAGGGTGAAACCTGCAGAGATGATAGCCCCTGCAGTGGCCATGATGCCTGCTAGCTGTCGAGGAGATAGGTACAGGGGGGTTCTGGGGCCCTGCACTTCTAGCTGCTGACAGGCAAAACTCGTGACATGGGTGCTTGTGCAACTGATTGTCTCTGTCTTGGGGCAGTTGATTGTCTGTATTAATTCTTTCCTCTCCTTAGTGTGGGATTTTGTAAGTATTAATTGTTCTAATTAACTGGCTATATTAGCTAGCGACTGTGTTTTGAGCTGGTCCCTGAGTGAATCATGATTGATTGATAACTGGCAACGCAGTAGCTTAGCAGCCAGGCCTGCAGTAGTTCCCCACAAGACAGAGACAGTCAGTTGCACAAGCAGCCATGTCATGAGTTTTGCCTGTCAGCAGCTTGAGGTGCAGTTGCCCTCAAACCCCTGTACCTACCTCCTTGAACCTGGCAGGCTTCGTGGCCTGAGCAGGGGCCACCATCCCTGCAGTTTTCAGCCCGCTGCGCCTTAACACCCACAGGGTCATCTATGTCACGAGTGTTGCCTGTCAGCAGCTTGAAGTGCATTTCCCCCCAAACCCCTGCATCGATCTTCTTGAAACTTGACAGACTTTGTGGCCTCACCAGGGGCCACCATCCCTGTAGTTTTCACCCCCCTGTGGTGTAACACAGATGTGACATGAGCTATGCTTTCAAGAATTTGGGGTGCAGTTCCCCCCAAACCCCTGTACCTATCACCTTGAAATGTGGCAGGCCTTTTCACCTCACTGATCTTCTTGAATCTTGGCAGACTTCATGGTCTCAGCAGTGGCTACCACCCCTGCAAATTTCATCCAAATCAAACAACAAAGGCCAAAGTTATTGATTTCCCATTACACTCTATGGCTGGATCTCCAAAGTGGCTCCAAAGCTTTTCCGAAGTGCTTTGGAAGCTCCAAACTGCTTCGGAAAGCCTAAAGAATGCAGTGCTTTGATCTGGACATGCTTCTTCAGACACAGAAGCATCTGAAGCTTCTCCAGATCTGAAGCACAGTCCAAAGCCTTGCACAGCCCTACTGAGCACCACATATCCTTGGGACAACGATTGTCAATGATTCTCATGCCTGCTCCTTCCCGCTGGGCTGCCTTGAGATCCTTTCAAGGGTGCGGCAGGGTGCCACACAGTATTAGGGGACAAAGTGCTAGGGGACATACTGTTAGGTATTCAGACATAATTTACAAAATAAACCCAGATTTTTTTCAATAGGAATCCATGGTTTAAAAAACATTCTGACCTGCTGTGGTCTTTCTGAATTTTTTGCAACAGAAGAATTGCTCTAGTATTTTTCTGTAGCCAAAAAATGCATGAAAACTAAGAGCTGGCATTTTGCCAGGGGGCCTTGAATCTATCAAGGGTTGCCTTGAGTCTAAAAATGTTGAGAACCACTGCCTTAGGCTCCAGGGCCCTACTGCATTACATTGCCCTATCCCCTGGGACAGGCCCAGAATGCAGAAGCCAGAGCACAGAGAGGGAGTCCAGTATTTCCAACTGCTGTTGCAGCCAGAGTGATAGTGGAGAGTGGCCGAGAGGCAATATCCCATGAGGGTTGCATCTTAATGCTTTATGGGCTACATGCAGCCCATGGACTGCCAGTTGGACAGCCTTGGTTTATGGAACTGACAAAGCTGTTGAGTTAGAAACAAATCACGCTGAGACTAACTCTTAATAATTTTGTTTAGCAGGCACATCTGTGGTAGAGAGTGCAAGGTCTTCTCCAAAAATGTAAAGCTGTCATTGGAACATCCACAGTGTAATAAAAATGCAGATCCATAGACTGACTATATACAAGCACACTGAAATGCCTGATCTGCTTAAAAGCTATAGCAAGCACGCTGTCTGCAAATACAAAAACAGGTCATCTTAGGGGCTTTGTTATTAGAGTTGTTTCATAGCTGTGACTTTGCATAACTATATTTTTTGAGAGAGAACAAAATTCAAAGCAACTTTTCCAGGAGTTTTAAGTTACTTGTTGAAATACTGCTTGGCCACAAACCTACCGTTTCTGCCTTCTGAGCTAGACCTGCTGGGTTCTAGAAACTAGGAGGGCAATGTATCTCTGCTATTGTAATTCTTCAGTTGTCTCCCAAGTCCTTTAGGGTTGAAAGGTATTTCAAATCACTTCTCAATATTCTTTATGTATCCACCACCCTGATGGAAGGCCCTATTCCTGGCACAACTCAGAGCAGCTGCGAGGCAAAGTTAAATTAACATAATCCCTGTCAGTGAAACCAAGGAGCAGTCATAGAACCTGCAAGGTTGCAGTAGCAAAGATATAACCCAAACTGCAGTGTGATGCATACAGAGAGTTTAAGACTGTGCAAGTACTGATCTACTTGTTGCCCGTCCTTCCACAGATCCTACTGTGAGCAGCCAGTTGGACATAGGCATAATTCAAACTGTCACCAACTTAAACAGCAGATTGGTCTTGAACTTATCTCTAGCTCCATACTGACAAGAAGTTGTTTTTGCTTAATGCAGTAATCCCAGATGCATAAGTAGAAATAGGCTTTCTCCTTCTGCTTCTCCTTTTTAAATCCTGCCAGGAACTGTATTTCTTTCCTGTCACTGTGTGTGAATCTTTCACGTGCAGCTGAAAAGCTGTTAAAGTAGGTGAAAGTGAGTGTAAAAAGGAGAAACTCTGAATATTATTTTTAACAACAACAGTTTAACAACCATTAATTCACTAAGCTCATAAACAAAGAGTTTGGGGCAGAGAGGAGGATTCGCACACACAAAAATGAAAAGCATTAGTAGGGTGGGTGACTGAAGGAGTCAATAAAATCCAGCTCTGAGCCTTCTCAGTGTACACAACCATATGGAGTGCAGTATATTGTTGTCAGAGCCAGTGCTTTTCAACAGAATGGTATAGTTTCATAGTTTCTAGGGTCGGAAGGGACCTGAGAAGATCATCTAGTCCGACCCCCTGCCATGGCAGGAAAGAGTACTGGGGTCAAACGACCCCAGCAAGGTGTTCATCTAACCTCTTCTTAAAAACCCCCAGGGTAGGAGCCTGCACCACCTCCCTTGGAAGTTGGTTCCAGACCCTAGCC